TAATAGGGGGGGTGGGCACGGAAGCAGCCGATCAATGATTCTCCTCCCCATCATTAATGTTTCTCTCTCTCTCTCTCTCTCTCTCTCTCTCTCTCTCCCTCCCTCCCTGCTTTCCTCCCTTCCTCTCTAAAATCAATAAAAATATATTTTAAAAATGTTTTAATTTTATTTTTGTTCCAAATCTTTGAAATGTGATATTTTACACTTATAGCCCTTCTCAACTCAAATGCTAAATTTTCAGTTTTAAGTAAAATGTAGTCCTTCCAAAATAATAAAATGTATATAAGAGGAAAATATTTTACATTGCTAAGGTTTTAAATTTAACTAAAATCAAACATTCAGTTCCTCAGTTACATTGGCCACATTTCAAGTGCTTGGTAGCAACATATGACTACTTAATCAGGTGCATATGGTGGGGAAAATATAATTAACTAATAATAATACAGGAGTAAACTTTTACAACTCACAATTGTAAATCTACTTTTGCTCTACCCCATATAATTGGCTATACTAGTAAGAGTGAAGAGACTCAGGAGCCCTTTTCTTGATAGATCTAGTATTTGGAAGGAATTAGAGGTTTTCACACTTCTAACAAATTTCATTATGAAAAGATTCAGAATTATATGAAGACCTATAGAAATATCTCTCCCCCAAAATGTTTCCTTGCCTGTGTAACTAAAACAGGTTAACACATTATTGAGTTTGAGATTATCCTCTGTATCCTAAAATTTAGTGATATAGAGATCAGAGTTATCTTCCCTGTCAGGGAGTTTAATTTAGAGTTAAAAATAACTTCTCATTTATTATATTTAGATGGGTGGGAAGAGATTTTGAAGGTTAGCTTTAATTATAAATAGTTCCACTGTCAAATAAAAATGTAGAATTTTGAGTGGCAGGTTGAAGAATTTGACCTTCATACCTCAGATATTAAGTTATTGTACATTTTGGAGTAGAAGAGTACATAATGAAGTCCATGCTTCCAGAAAGCAAATCAGAATCCATTGTGCAAGTAGACTGGTAACAACAGAGGTCTGTAGAGAAAATGTGGAGCTTCTAGCATCCTTAGCTGGTACATACTCTTATTTTCCTCTTACATTGACAAGACAGGAGCTTATCCTTCAAAATCTAGTTCATCAAAATCTAGTTCAAAGTCAGCTGTTTCCTGGAAGCAGTTGTCAGACTGAGTCACTTCACCTCTGATCCCACCGAACTTCTTTCCAAATCCTAAACAGAAGTCAAATCATAGAGAAACTATAGTATGGTTGTAGCGGAGGAGGGGATGGAGAATTATTGTTTAATTGGTGCATTTTCCATTTTACAAGATGAAGAGTTCCGTGGATGCATGGAGTGATGGTAGCACAGAACTAAATGATTAAAGGGCCTTTCCCCAGCCTAACTCCTTCCCTTTCAGGTCACAACTTAGATGTCCTTCCCTTTTCCAGGCCAAAAGGGTTTAGGTACATTTGCTATACCCTCTTATGAACTCCATACTTTTCTGATAGGGCTTTCATTCCAATTACAATCTATAGCAAATTATGTGGTATATTAGTTTGCTAGGGCTTCCATAACAAAATGGTACAGACTGGGTAGCTTAAACAACAAAACTTTATTTTTTCACAGTTCTGGAGGCTGGAAGTTCAAGATCAAGGTATAGGCAGGTTTAGTTTCTCCTGAGGCTTCTCCTTGGCTTTCAGAAGGCTGCCTTCTTCCTGTGTCCTCACATGGCCATTCCTCCGCGCATGTGCATTCCTGGTGTCACCCTGTGTGTCCAAATTTCCTCTTCATATAAAGACACCAGTCAGACTGAATTAGGACCTACCATAAAGGTCTCATTTTAACTTATCACCACTTTAAAGGCCCCATTTCCAAATACAGTCATATTCTGAGACGAAATTCTTTTTTTTTTATTGCTTAAAGTATTACAAAGGGTATTACATATGTCTCCTTTTTTTCCCCCCGCCCTTGACAATCCCCTGGCCTCCCCTACCCCCCAGTGTCTTATGTCCATTGGTTATGCTTATATGCATGCATACAAGTCCTTTGGTTGATCTCTTACCCCCCTCCCTCCTGCCCCCCAACCCTCCCTGGCCTTCCCGCTGCAGTTTGACAATCTGTTTGAGGCAGCTCTGCTTCTGTATCTATTATTGTTCATAAGTTTATAATGGTCTTTATTATCCATGAATGAGTGAGATCATGTGGTATTTTTCCTTCATTGACTGGCTTATTTCACTTAGCATAATGCTCTCCAGTTCCATCCATGCCGTTGCAAATGGTAGAAATTCTAATGAACTTTGGAGGAACACATTTTAACCCTCTTACCTCTGTTGTTCCCACTTGATAAACTGACAACTCTTGTCTTGTTCTCATTTCAGGATCTTTAGAGTTGCTATTCCCTCTTTTTAGAATATTCTACTTCCAATTTTTCATACAACAGGTTTTACTCAACTTTCCAGCCTGAGCACTATCATCTGGCAAGAACCATCCCAGACCACCTTATTTAAATTAACCCTAAAAGTCCCTCTATCACATCACTTTTTTTTCTTCCATGGCACTCACCAGAATGCCAGCTCCAGGAAAAGGAGGTTATGTGTTTTTCTCAACTATTGTAGCCCAGATATCAGCCCAGTGTCTTGTGACACTGGACTAATGAACTCATGGGCCAATGAATTTTATAACCACTTACCACAGTATAATGACTTTATTTAATCCACTGAGAAAACCTGCCCAGGAGGGGTCACATTTTTATGAAACTTTCTGAATCTCAGCTCCAACACTTACTAACCGTGAGATCTCTGGCAAGTCACTTAACCTCTGTGGGCCTCAGGTTCCCCAACTGTACGCCAACAATTCCTTCTTCACAGTTCTTCTGAAGATTAAATAACATAAGGCTCGTATGCTACCCAGCACAAGACTTTGGCCTATCGCACACGCTATCAATTGAAATGCTAATGGGCTGGATGTTTTCCAAAGTGCGGCACCTGTGGATAGCGTGAAAATGTCTTTAGGGGGCACAGACCATTGAAGCTATTATCCTTTCAATTCTTTGGATTAAAATAAGGCCTTCTTTCCTCATATGTCTTTACTATCTCCTGCTTTTCTTTTTAACGGAAATAGCATGTAGGTTCAAGGACACACAACAGTTAATACGTGAATTTAACATTGTTTTCTATTGCATTTCTGAAGCCAGGCTGCCCGGGTTTACACCCACCTCCCTCAGTCTGACTTCGGCCCAGTTAAGGAACCTCTCTATTCCTCAACTTACTCAAATGCAACGCGGGGACAAGGACAGTACCACCTCCACGGGGTGTCGTGAATATAAAATGAACTATTACGCGTAAAGCGATGCAGGACATAGGAAGCCCGCCATCCACGTTAGAAACATGTGAAAGAAACGGTCCAGGCGGGAAGGTTTGGCAACAGTCTCAAATGTCTCACCAGGACAACTGAGTCAGCGACGCGCGGCAGGACCGGGCCTGTGAGGCGGGGCGGCACTCGCCACCGCCAGACCTGCGGCTCGGCCGGGCGCGGGGTCTGAGGGGCCGGCCGAAGCCCCCGAGGGACCAGAGCTCGGGCCTCCTCCGGCTTCGGCCTCTTTGGGTCTCCCTCCCGTTGTTGAGAGACTCGTCCCTGCGTGGGCGGTCGCGCCCTTACCCTGAGTTTCCTCCACAGGTAAGCTCTCCCCCGAGGCGGACGCGAAGAGCCCGGGAGTGTTCTGGCGCGAGAAACAGGGGCGGGGCCACGGGGCGGGGCGGCGTACGCTACGTAAGACGCCGCCGCTGTGTGCGTCGTAGTGCGCATGCGCGGTGGGCTGCGTAGCGGAGATCCGGACCCCGGCGGGAGCCAGCATGGCGTCTGAGCGTAAAACTAAGTTGTCCAAGAATTTGCTGCGCATGAAGGTACGGGGCGCGGGGGGAGCCAGGATGGGAGGGCAGGGCCACCGGGGCCTCCTGGCCTGGACGAGGCCGGGGCAAAGGGCGTACAAGGGCCCCAGAGGGCCTCCAGCTCTCGCGTTCATTCATTCACTTAGCGCCTGCTGTGTGTTAGGCCCTGGGAACTGGATTAGAAATCCGGCTGGTTCTCTCCTAAAGCCAGCTGTCGAATAGGAGAGACAGAGACGTAAAAGTGGACACAGCGTAATAAGAGCAGTGATGCCGGGAGCGCCGGCCAGGAACTTCGGGCTTCTGCGGGCAGCGGTGCTTTAGTAGAGACTGAAGGGTAGGTGGGAGGGTAGGGGCATAGCAACATAAACTGAGGCAAGAGAGTGTTCAGAAGTCTGAGAGGCAAAACCCAAAAATTCTATGCTGCGTTTGAAGAACTAAAGATAATTCTGTATGTCTGGAAGGCAAGTAGCAAGAAATGGGCCTGAAAAAGTAGGCAGGTCACAGCAGGGAATTTTAGGCCAGGCTAAGGATATTTTTCTTTATCTTGTGAGCATTGGGAAGCTGTTGAGTTCGGGGAACAGTATCATTAGCTGTGCCTCTTATTCTGTCCTGTGGGTAATATTTAGTGAAAGAAAGGCCCAACGGGGTCCAAAATTGCAGTCAGAAAGACCACCCAGAAGTTCTGGTGATCTGGGTGAGTGTTGCAGTGGTGGTGCTATGGAATTATAACAGTTGATGAGGTGAAAGTGAGTTATGTCAAGCAAAATTTACTTTTATATTTCAGATTTAACCAAATAAGATAAAAATGGACAAAAACAAGGGTAGTTAAAATGAATACAGAAATTAAAACGGGAAACAACCAATCCTTAAAACTTAAATAATAGCAGCAAACATTTTAGTTCTTGCTATGTGCCAGACACTGTTCTAAGTGCTTTGTATATAGGAACCCAATAATTCCACATAGTCCCTTGAGGTGGGTTAGTATCCCTCTCTAACAGTGGAGGCAACTGAAACGGAGAAGTAAGTAACTTGCCCAAAGTTACTTACTGCTAATAAACAGTGTAGACAAGACTCAAATTCAGAATTCTGTCCCTAGACCCCATTTGCTATCAATTACTACTGGTTGCTGAACACTTACAGATGTAAACTGTTAAATGTTATGTTTAGAGGGGTGCGCAATTTTCAGGAAGAGGAAGCAAGGCGTAAATAACGTTCTGAAAGATTGAAGAGTAAATATTGCATGTGCAAAATGTGAATTGAATTGAGCTAGGATGTAAATAGGGATGAATAGGGTGATTGAAAGTGAAGGGTAAGTCAGCATAATTTATAGTTTCTAAAGCATTTCTTCCATGCATATTAGCAAAATTTGAATCTTTACTGAACAGAGTTTTCTCTTGGTTTATGATTTGCAATCATGTAGATTTCAAGGAAGTGGAGTGGATTGACAAAGCAAGCACTGAAAAGATTTTAGAAGTTTAACTCTTGGAATAAGTCAAATGAAGATGTACTGGATAATTAAGGACCAGACCAAAGATCTGACTTGAAAGTTAGGAATGAAGAAATTAACTCTAAAAAATCATCTACCCCTTACCTGAGTGGTTGAGAGAGACTCAACTAGACATTGGAAGCAAAGAAGAGGTTCTCTATTTGGGTTCCAACTTCTGTCATTGTTAAGAAAGAACTCATTGGCAGGATAGCAGGAGACACTATATATACAGATAGAGTGGAATGTCTTATGAGAAGGACTGAAGCAGCTGCCTGAGGTTATTGTATTCAGTGTAGCTGTTCAAGAGCTAAATATAGAGCAAGAATGACAGGGTAGAGAATTTAATAGAGACTCATTTATTTTCCATTGTACTTGAAGTCTGACTTGGGTCATCTATTGGGAACTGGAGGTCGATCCTGATGGGAAGTAGAAAGTGAAGGATGTAGGTAGAAGGTCTGTGACTATGATGGAAATATAGAGAAGGTACTTATTTGTGATAACTCTTTTGGACTCAAGACAGGAGTTAGTGAACTTTTTCTGTAAAGGAATAGGTAAATACTTAAAGTTTGTGGGCCAGTCTGTCTAACCAACTTGGCCCTTGTACCTCAGAACCAAATGAGTATGGCTTTGCTCCAGTAAAACTTTATTTACAAAAACAGAAGTTTAGCCTAAGGACGATATTTTGTGATACCTGTTCCAAGCCCTTGTTGTGAGTAAAACTAAATCAGTAGCTTTAGAGTATGTTCTTAGGTGCTGTGGAGAAAGAATTGAACAGCTGCCTAAGTCTGGAGTTGCTTCATTCATACTCACAGGGTTTTCTATCCTTTCCATATGTATGGAAAAATGTGTGTGTGTATTTTGGTACATATGAATATGGCTATTTCTATACCATAAAGAATATCTACTTAAAAATAGGAAGTAAAAGGGCAGTTGGACAGGATTTGTGAGTTTTACCATGAAGAATATGAGTAATGGGATAAGACATCTATGTTTAAAGAGAACCAGCTAAGAAAGGAAATCTGGAAAAATAAGACAAGTCTAGAATCAGTTCCATTCAGAAAACCTTTATTGAACTCTTTTCTGTGTACCAGTTGCAGCCTACGAACCAATAATGCAAAATGAATAAGAGATGTGGTCTGCATTCACAATCTTAATCTTTTAGGAGACATCTATCTATATATATAAAAGTCTAAGCGACCGTTTGGTAGCTGTGACACGCATTGACCACTAGGGGGCAGATGCTCAACACACAAGCATGGAAACATGGAACAGACTGATGAATCTCCGAGGGAAGGGCCGGGGGAGGGTAGTAAGAGATTAACCAAGATCTTATATGCATACTAGAGGCCCGGTGCATGGATTTGTGCACCAGTGGGGTCCCTCGGCCTGGCCTGCGGGGATCGAGCCAAAACCGGCAGTCTGACATCCCCCCAAGGGTCCCGGATTGCTAGAGGGTGCAGGCCCCGAGGGACCACACTGGGCCTCTAATGAACAGTATTTATAAAGCCAGTATTTATAAAGCTGTATTAGAAGCAAGGAATGTTTATCAAAGGACACGTGCTCTGGACCTTCACGAGTAAGTATGTTGCCAGGCAGAAGATAGAAGCATAATGTTGAATAGCAAAGGCAGAAGAACTGGGAAGTACAGGGTTTGCTTTCCAGAAACTGCCTGTTCTTTCCTGGAATGAGGGTATAAGCACAGGTAAAAGGATGAGGACAGATGAACGAACAGTGCAAAGCCGGGACATTGATGGTGGTACAATCCACACAGTTTACCCAGATTTCACCATTTTACTTGCACTCAAGTGTGTTGTGTGTGTGTGTGTGTGTGTGTGAACTTTCCATACAATTTATTGTATGTAGATTTATCTAACTGCCATCACATTCAAGATACAAAGCTTTTCCATCATCACCTTTGTGTCATCCCTAACCCCTGGCCATCATTAATCTATTATTCATTATTATTATTTTGTTATTTCAAGGATATTATATAAATGGAATCATACAATATATAATCTTTGAGATTGGCCTTTTTCACTCAGCATAATTCACTTGAGACCCAGTTAAGTTGTTGAGTGTTATGAATAGTTCCTTCCTTTTTATTGCTAAGTCGAATTCCATGTTATGGATGTTCTATGGTTTATTTTAGCCATTCACCTATTGAAGAGTATTTTGATTGTTTACAGTTCTTGGCTAGTACAAATAGAGCTACTGTGATTATTTATGTGTAAGTTTTTTGAGTAAACTAAGTTTTCATTTCTCTGGGATAAATGTCCAAGAAGACAATTACTGGGTCATATGGTAAATTCATGTTTAGTTGGATAAGGAACTATGTATTTTCCACAGAGGAGGTAATTTTCTCACATCCTCATCAGAATTTGTTGTTATTTATTTGTGAATGTTTTTCAAGTCATTTCATTTAGTAGTCATTGGTAAAGCCCTGATGCCTAAAAATGTTTATGTGTTTGAAAGAGCTGGAGTTGAGGGAAGCATAATATAGGATAAAGGAAAGAAATAGAGCCTGGATAAAGAAAAGAAATAGGGGTAATGGAAATCAGTATAATCCTAGACCTAACTGCTGGATGATTTCTAAATTTATTTTTTCCTGTTATTAATATTTCATCATTTTGCTGTGATTAACTTCTTGGTTTGCCTATCCCCTGGAAATAGCGCTATTGTTTGTACTAGGGAGAGACTAGAGCAGGACTGCTATTTTCTCTACTGGCCTATTTTGAGTTGAGCTTCTACAGATCTATCTTCTATCTATATAAATAAAAGCCTAAGCCACTGGTCGACCAGTCACTATGATGTACACTAACCACCAAGTGGCAGATGCTCAAGGCAGGAGCTGCTCCCTTGTGGTCAGTGCGCTCCCACAGCAGGAGCACCACTCAGCTGACCGAGGGGTGCCATTCACAGGGCTCACTGCTGGCCACCACAGCCTGGAGACTGCAGTGGAGCGCCAGTGAGCCTACCAAGCAGTGTCAGGCACAGTGGGGCCAGGATGAGCAGGAGCAGCTGGCGGCGTTGGACTGCCAATTTCGGCTTGATCCCCGCAAGCCATACCAAGGGACCCCACCAGTGCATGAATCCGTGCACTGGGCCTCCTGTTGTAAAATAAAGAGCAGC